TACTGACACAATTGTGTATGTCTAAATGTGCCTTGAAATGTATGACATTCCGAAATATTCAATTGGTTAGTTATAAGACGACTTGCACACACCTGAGACCTCGGTATATTGCAAATTCGTCCTGGCACCCAACATTTGGCAAAGTTACCGGTTTGACGTCTTCGAAACGATTTCACTACAATGCGGTTTCGCAATGCGGAGTCTTGGAGGGTGCAATAACCGACACATTGTAGCTACACGAAGCATGAAACCGAAATGTAGTTCTTTAAACGGCGACCCTTGTATCTAGACTGCCTCCACAACACACCGTACACGATGATATGCTTACTACTTGACACCGGGATGGTGTACTATTCAAAAGGTCGCTGGTTCGATTCTGTCCAGTGCTACGAATAATAAAATAAAAGTTTAAGAATAATGACAACCACCTGAAGAAGAGAGTACAGCCATCTCCCGAAACATCAATATACCTCAGACAATGGACAGTACTCAAAATTGTAGACGCTTCTTTATATGAATCAACGATTACCAGAAACCCTTAAAGAATCATGATGAAGTTATGAATTATCTTATTCGAAACGTGTAGCTTTGCGTAGTTAAAGATCACGTTGCTCCCCATTGATCTCCACATAGATTTCAAGGCAATGTCCTTTAGTACCATTTTGTATTCACGTTTTGGTCTAACAAAATGCCTTAGGACTGCAACGCCAAAGTTAAAACAGGCGGTACTGTTGACGTTTTCGCTCGAAGCTGGTTGGCATAAGCTGGAACGTTACATCAGTTGTAAAATCGCGTAATATTTTCACAGCGAAACTTATAACAACAAATACCACATGGGTTAACAGACGTAGGTACAGGCGGGCAGTACCAGACTTCAAAGTGAAGCTGACTCACAATAAAATCGAATTATGGACAGAGTTGGGTTTAATGTTCGCTGTTATGCCTCTCGCTGATCCATCGACACTGCTATAGGCAAAAGGCTGTATGTGTGAATTATATTTTACTGCGGGTTTCTGCGAATAGCTGTATCCAAAGGAAGATGGCTGTCTCTCGGTTTTAGCGCCGTGTAGTCATATATAAATTTCTCGTCTCATAAGTCGTCGCTGCCTCCATCATCAGGGCGGTAGCAAGGACCTCAGAAACGTCGGTAAACTTCTACCACACTACACGGCGCAACAGCCCAGAAGACATCCATCTTCATACTCGCCGCCGTCAGAACCTCATATCAAACTATCGTACATCAAAAAATAGCCAGTTTCGGTTGCTGAATATGTGGTTTATTTCTGCAGAAGACCAAGAAACTTTTGGAAGGCATCCAGCATTTCTCTGAAACTTACTGAACACTTCAGGCTACAATATACCACGCGCTCACATTTCCCCCTTCACCCCGAAAGTACTGCAGCTTTTCATGACAAATTTGTTTGCTTTTAATTTCCTCGCGTGCCCTAGGTGGGAAAATGTGCCCGCCCCTGTACTGAATGATCCCGTATAGCAAAATGTTCTATCGTGTCTGTAACACCACCGGACAGACAGCGGATCCATAGTAGGCTACTACATTCGAGCTTACAGCTACAATATTCAATTTGCTTTAAACGTGAGAGAATAGCAAAGCAAACTGGAAACTCGCGAAGTGCATACAATCAAAAAAGATTAACAAAGCCATAAATATTAATTTAGTTACACAGAAAGAAACAATTTTGAATTCCGATGGTCGTCTTAATAAGTATTTAAATTGTATTCGCGTGTGTTCATGACTATGTTACAATTACGGGCAATTTTTGTAAGCAGGTTACCTACTGTGTTGTATGATTCAGTCCTTATAACAATATTAAATGCGGGTTGCTGACATTTTGCATTAACAAATCTGTAAGAGTTATAATACATACAATGTAAAAATTCGTAATGATGTTCGCTGACAAACTCTTTCAAACCCAAGCGTAACATTTTCTGGATAGTAGCAAACTTGCTTCAAACTCTTTCCGATGACACGATGGTAATCAGCTGATTGCGTACGAGATTTCAATTCAAATGCGGAAGCAATATAGTATGGGAATTAATTTATTGGCTTTCACTCATGTGAATAAAGATGATTTCACTTACACCATTATTCCACTCAAAGACCGACGACTATATCCTGCATAGAGAGGAGGTCAATTGTGAAGAATTCTCCCACGAAGCTTCACAAAGCGTGTTTATGTACACACACACACACACACATACATATATACCGGTCGCTTATGCTTGCTTGCCCTTGCTGGCCAATCCGGTTATTGGTGTGCACTAGGGTTCTCCAACTAGTGGCTCGCAGGACAAATTTGACCCATGAAATGTTACCTTCCCATCCGGGGTCATATTTTTCACGTTTTTATTAAACAAAAATTTCTTATGATACAAAAAATAATACATATATCAGAACGAACCAGGGTTTAACAATTAAAACTATTGCCAGGATTTTATTAAAAATTAATTTAAAGTACATCTTTATTTGAGTCGTTCCGTGTCACAGCTGTAAAATGGAAGTTGCTTTTGTAAGCATGCTTTCAGTTTCGTGCACTAGGACATCTTCGTTGCAAAGGCAAATGGTTTCAGACTCGTTGACCAGGGTTCGTGCTCCATCAGGGGAACTTGTATTTTCCTTTTTCACGGCCAGTAATGGCTGTGAATTATATATACAGTCCTAAAGATATCGATACATAGCCTTTGCCTTACGTCAGATATCAGACTTCAGATTTCCTCTGCTAGTGACCACGAATATTGAAATTTAATCTTATTCAGTTCCACTCAGCTAAAACATCTCTCGTCCTGCCACGTGCATTTATGTTTTCTTCTAAAATGTCTGAATTTGTGAATTGAAAAGAGTGGATTGTATCTGCTTTCTGTGACCGCGCACTTCCATCGGAACAACTGTACAAATGTAAGCTAATTTGCATTCCACCTTAGCCCTTCTATTCAACATACTTTCGTGTTTGCAGTGTTAAAGGCATCTTTGAACTACTACAAGTTCCTTAGATGAGTTAAGTTATTCATTGGTGATTATCACCTTGATGGTGGTGGCAGGAAGCACCTCTGAAACGTCGGTAAAATTCTACCAGACTAAACATTGCCAGTGCTGTCACTGTGTCCCACACTAAATTGGGAGGTATAAGACGGTTCTGTTGCGAAAGTTTTTCAGCGCATGTTTGTTCCACACGTGCGTGTAGTCGTTTAGGCGCCAAGGAAACAACTGCGCTGGGGTCCTTCGCCCATGTACAAGCGCCGATTGTTTTCTCGGAGAAAGGAAGCAAGTTATAAATACTATTTATACAGGCCTAATATTTGTTACTGAAAGCGTAACATTAGTGGGAGAGAGTTGCATGGTTGTATCGGGTGAACGACATACGTACATTAACAGAGTTTGATGTCTAGCAATTGCCTTCATGTTTTCTTGTATGTTTTGCGAGTGACGCAGTGCAAAGGCGTTTAAGAGCAGGCTTTTGCTAACTGATATCTTATCAGTGTGTTGCTACGTACAAGAACAAGTCGATCGTTCATTTTATCTCAGCTGAAACTGCAGGGATTTGAGGCCAAATGTGTCGGTGCTTCAGTAACACATATATTTGGTAGTTGTAATAAGTAAAGAGCTACTTATAACGAAAGGCATTGTCCAATAACTAGTCAGTTGAACATATTGGAAAGGTGTGCTCTTTGGAGGACAATGAATTCCTAAGGCGTTACTCAAGATACATCACGAAGGTCATTATTGCACAAATGTTGATAAAGACATTGTTGAACCTTGGATAATTAATGCACTGTGATCCGAGATCATTGTTGCACAAGTGTTTTAACAATGAACCCCCAAAGATCTCCATTCTTGGGCAACAATGCCCTCCAGTCACGACAGAGGCAGGCATGAACGATTTCATGACGTGTTCTTCGCTCACGCTAGTACGTGGGCATTTGTTTGTTAATGTGGGCCAGTTTCTATTTTGGAAATTAATACAATTCATGCATTATGCAATTATTACGAAAGCCCATATTATTATACGAACATCCTGTGTGGGATGTAAAGAAACGGAGATTGCTGTAGCATCACGGCTGTACTCATCCGACAGAAAAAAAGTTAATTTCGAAAAAGAATAAAAAGACCATTTATTGCGTGCAGGCCTGTATATATATATATATATATATATATATCCCAGGATCACGAATTATTATTTGTATGTGAGGTGGATGACTTTGCTTCTTGTGGCACCCAAACTCATTTTCTTTAGTGTGAGTTTTAGCCAATCATAATTTCATGGCACTTTTATGCAAATAAATTTCAATACATGAACCAGCTGTAAGACCTCGGTCGTTCTGGAACTGTTCATAGCGAATAAAACCAGCTCCAACTGTGCAAATTCATATCTAATGTATCAGAAATTTGTCTTAGTCTGTACTACAACAATAATATATTCCTTTTACAAGCGACAGGGGATTCAATACCGATTACAAATCGCACATCTGTAATCACTAATAGGATGACAGAGAAATGCACTTTATGGCCATTTTTCTGCATGAAAAACAATAACATGCAGTTGTCTGTTTTATGCAATGTGACACGTGTAATCTTGTACATAATGACAGACGTTTCAGAGGAACTTATTGATTACATATTTGTTACCGCCGGGAAATCCGATCTAAAAAAAATATATGTACCCCGAGAAAATGAGAAACATAATGGATACGACACAGTGGATAGTGTGGAAAATGTTTCCGGTTGCAAATCGCACTATTTCTTTTCATTCAACAATAAGGAATGCGAAGTAAATGTTTATATTCGCGGTTTTATTTAAATAGGCGCTGCCAGAAAGGATTTCTATAAAACTCATTTCTTATCAAATCTAGTCAGCATTTTGAAACACAGACTGGTAAGACAATTCCATGGGATTGCAGAGCAGTGCATACGAAAAGCCTGCGATGAGAAGAGACGAGACTAGACGAGCTCCTTCGTGCGTATAAATGAACAGATGAACACTCACCTTCTCTCCTCATGCCCATCTTGAGACACTTCTTGAGCCGACAGTACTGGCACTGATTTCTGTGATGCTGATCGATGGGACAGTTCCTGTTCCCCCGACAAGAGTACGTGAGGTTTCTCCTGACACTCCTTTTGAAGAAGCTCTTGCATCCTGCAACAAGGAACACCCCAATTACACCGGGTTCCAGCCAATGGGGGGTCTACTATAGAGGCGAAGTGCTACGACCTCGATCTGAACTGACAGATGCATCTTACGGATAAAACCCCAAATGAGAAGCACTGTTGGTAAACAATTTGAGTTCTGTGGTGTCAGATTCTACGGACAACAGACTGTGCTGTGTTACGGAAGATTTAAGGTTCTCACGGCGATGAGTAAGAAGATGTCTGTCTTCTGGATCCTTAAACAGTGTAGTCTGTTAGAAGTTAACCGAATTTTCAGACGTACCTGCAGACCAGACGTATCTTCGGCAATCGGTTGTTCCCTAGAAATGTTGGGTGTAAGTAAAGTTTTCTACCGTTTGAACCATATTCCTTGTCTGCACTTCAATGCCATAATTGTCATTCGAAGATAATGGCTGTTAATCATACTTACATAAAAGCATATCTACATAAAACCAATGCAGGCCTGCAAGTTAGATTTTTTCTTGCATAAACCAATGCAGGCCTGCAAGTTAGATTTATTCTTTCATCAGACACATCGAAAGTCTGAGGATGGTTATGTTTCTGTAAACACTGCATGGTGAATTTCCTTGGATGGTTTGGGAAGCCCTTGTATAAATCTGGCGCCGAGAGATGAAGTGAGGTCTAAGCCTCTAATCTAGGGTGTTTGTTGAAAACGTATGATCACAATTTCTATCATCTAAACTCTTCGTGAGCACGCTAAGTACAGTCTGTGTACCAGGACCAGTGTTCTGCAATGAAAATTTATACCATATAAAATATTGCGTATAGCAAATTGTGTTTTGTGGCCTATAGTAGGATGGTTTCACCATAAACGTATAGGAAAACAATTTCTCGTGGGAAGATTTTAACGGAAAACATCTTTTAAAGATATGAAGGAATGGATTAAATTATTTAAATATACAGAAAAATGATTTATAGGATTGAAATGGAATAAAGTTCGAGGTATGGAATATTCGGATAAATTAAAGTAGCAAATTCTATTATTCTGAAACAATCGCATCACCTCGTGCTATGGTCAGTATTTCGACTGTAGAGGTAAGCTGTTAAATTGAGGAAATTACATGACGAAAAACTTATGTGATTACTACGTTTTTCAGTACAATCTGTTAAAAAATATGCTCTTTTAAACAGAAGGAAGTAGGTTGAGTTGGTTGGGTACAATTGAACTTGCTCACGACAGGGTACACTTCCGTGCTGTTTGCATTGCATATCGGTATAATACTTCCAGGTTGCACTGGTAGTTTTTACATTATTCTCGACGTGCGGGGATCGGCTACCTGCACATCTCAGGTACAAACCTGCTGATGATAATCAACTTCAAGGGTTCGGCGTGTTCGTGTTCTGTAATTCTGAGATCACTTCTAAACGCAGAGGCCGAATTGGTTCTGCACGAGTGGGTGGGCATTTATTAATTAATAACTGGACAAAGCTCTTCCTATAAACTCACGGTATTGAAATAACTGCAGTTCATAAGAAACAATGAGACTTGAAACTCAAAATACGCTTTCCAGATACAGAATATGTAGCTCTGAAACGAAATATTGCGACACATCAAAACTTTTGAATGCACATCTCTATTATGGAAGTACACCAGTCTGTTAAGTATGTGAATTATAAACACACCCGAAAAGTTGCCTCAGCTTGGCATATACATAAAAGGCAGATCTGATAATAGTAGGCCGTATATGATTCAATCAACGAGACGCTGAGAAAATTTGAAGCCACCCATAACCTCAAACACTTCAGCTGTTGACCTATGTTACACGTAATGTTTTCACTGTAACATCACTCTTTTCAGTAAATGCCTAGCTCCTTGTATGAAAATAAATAAAGAATCATATTACAATGTCTATTTAAACACACACAAAAGAATAGAACTTGCGTAATCGCAAATTCAACAAGAAGTAGACAAACATAGCTGCTTGTTCTGTCAGGTGGCTGTCGTCTGAATACAAATGTCATTTACTGATATTTCAAAACACTTGTGTTTGTTAACCAGCTGGAATTTTCTCGTACGTTTTGCATTTGTGCAATGACCTCTTAAATAGATATATTATTCAGAAAACAGGATCGTCTACAGTAAATTTCTTTAATAGGAAACTGTTTTTTATGCATAAAACACCAATTAACTAAGCAACGAACCAGCAAAGACCATTTGGAAGTTAAGTCGTGATAGAATTTACTTGTGAACCGATTATTATGTAGTTTAACGTACTTCCATCCATTGCACTTTGTGTGTAATACGGAATTAGCCGTGCACTACGGTCTGATGCTTGCTACGTCATCCTCTAAGCCAAAAGTACAGCATGTTCCACAAATTTTAAACTAATATAGGATCCGCAAATGAGTCAGAATCCTCGTTATCGAATCACCAATAATCTCCAAGAGGAGTGACGGTGAAATTTTCTTCGCTAAGCCACAACGACCCTTTAACGAGCGCACTCAGGATTGTCGCCTGTTGTTACTACTGAAAGCCAGTAGCCATAGCATACGATAAAATAATTACATAAGAATAAATATTGTTAACTAAAATATATTACATTACCGCAACCAGCATTAGAAACGTATACAAGACAGGTAAATGCAAGTACAACACGAAAATCCAAAGACCACGATTTCCACAGAAAGAATTAACAATACGTATGGTACAAAATAACAGTCTTTGGACCTAATATGCACGCCTCTTACTTTGAAAGCCTTCAGTTTGTTGTAGATACATATTACATGAATAAAAGCTTATTTAGATTTTCAAGTGAACGACAAGTCTCAATTAATATTCTCTGTGCGCGTTAGCTGACTGACTGACTGCAGAATTGCAGCGTTAAGTATAACTATTCAGAGACTGGAGCCGAGTCTAAAAATGCGTTAAGCTTTTACTTAACGCCCCTTACACTTCGTGACGTGGTGCTTACATGTCTTCGTACAAGAAACTTCATTAAAATCCGACACCCTTCAAGTGTTTTAATGGACGTGACGAGAAATAGTTCAAACAATTTTGTACTGGTATAAGATTGGGTTTTAAAATGTTCGTTGTTAAAAACATGCAGGGAAATCTGTAGATTCACTGAATCTACCTGTAGTTCCACGAGCACAGAAGCGCAATAATAAATCATTGTTTGTTGTTCCTGAATTCCCACCGGGGGTGCGCGAGTTTTGTCTCCGTCCTGTAGGCAAAGTTCTGATCTGTCCGCGTGCGATTACCGAGTCCGAAAAATCGTGATCCATTATGGAAGCCAGGCGAGAACGTGAGAGGAACAAAAGACGATCACGAGAGCAATCTAGATGTAGCTTATTTGCTGCTGGTGGTGCACTCTCGGAGGGCCAGAAGCGCATCTTCAGAAATGACACAACGACCTAACTCTCATCACTAACGAGATACCATCATATTTGCAAACAAGCAAATTCGGTAAATAACCCCCTGACCGACGGATCCTACACATCCTTCGAAAGGTTATTGATCTCGTATGCAATATTCGCCACCGTCTTTACCTTATTATCAAAGTGTTACGTACTTAATAGACAATCTGTTACATGAACTCCTTCCTGTGGCTCCTTGCACGGGTCGTTTCAAATGATTTTATCTTAGTTCGTTCATGAAAACCGTTAAGGCATTAGGTATGAATTTTAGGATAAGGGCCCGGCCTACCAAGTCACAGATATCGGTATAAATCTGTTGGCTACATAAGTTGCTGTTCTAAACTAATGATGAGGCTAAAACGCGTCATTGTCCAATTCAATGTACGACCCCGCGTTTACATCCAGGAACCAGGCAGCGGAACTATGGATTACAAGGAAGGAACAGTGTCTGTAGGCCTGCTGGCCGAATTCTGTAGAAGTGTAACGGGGTTACTTCATTGAGCAGAATCTTTCGTTAGCTGCTAATAGGTATTCAATCTGACCAGGAAATAATCAGCATTTTATTAAACAAGATGATTCCTGAGCGCGTTCACTAGGGCGCACCACTGGACTCTGGTTCGTTTAAGTACAGTCCCAGCACTTTAAGACGCATTTTAATATTATCCTATAATCAGCACTTTGGTCTCTTAAGCTCCCTTACCTTTAGGTTTTCCGACAAAACGTTGCCATACATTTATAAGCTCCCCCATGCGTTCTGCATTTCCTCCCATCTCAAACTTCTTAACTTGGTGGAGATACAAAATATGAAGCTCTCATTATGCAGCTTCCCTGTTCGTCGAATCAATCCCCCCCCCTCTCTCTCTCTCTCAGGTTCAAATACTCACCTTTGCACCACACACAAACACCCAAGGTCAGTGTGTTTCCCTTGGTGAGACATCCATACAAGATGGCAGACAAAATTATAGGTAAGATTTCAGAAGATCTTCAGGGTTGTTTCGCAGTGTAGTCTGGTAGCAATTTACCGACGTTTCAGAGTTACTTGCTGCCTATATCATCAGGGCGATTGCCACAGCGTTCAGACTTAACCCCCACCATCCGCCGTAGAAATGTATTCACTTGGTACTGGGATCTCTTCACGGCCTTGAACCTGCCGATGCGTGAACTTATACCATACTTCTATTTTGCGTTGAGGACTAGATGTGTAGCGTTTTATTTGCATACCCTAAGTAGGCTATCATGACGCGGTGTTAGACGGAAATTGAATTTTATATGCAACATGCGCTCTGCAAGCTCGCACCTAATGACTGACGCGATGTTCGTAATTAATGCTTTAGTTCCTGTTGGGCATGATTCATAAACAGTATTTCACGATCCCTCCGGCATTAAGTCGTAGCGATACAATAAACAAAATTAAGTGTTGTGTCTGTAAGACGTAGGTCTAATATCTCCTCAGCACGTAATTACAGTCACGTGCAATTAATTTAAGTCATATCAAATAAGATGAAACTGGTGTTAATTTTGCGAAAACAAAAATGCAAGCATATAAGTCAAAACTTATTTGCCCATCACTGCTGACTCAAGAAAGTATTTGTCAGTACGCTACTCCGGTGG